GAAAGGTAGTGTTGGGGTTAATGAGAGGGCTAACGTGAACGTTACTGGAGGGCTAGTGTTGGAGTTAAAAGTAAACTTATTGCTGGGGTACAGGGCAGGTGAGTGTTGGGGTTACAGGGAGGGTAATGTTGGGGTTAAAGAAAAGGTGAGTGTTGGGGTTACAGGGAGGGTAATGTTGGGGTTACAGGGAGAGTTAGTGTAAGGGTTATGGGGAAAGTTAATGTTGGGGTTAAAGGGAGGGGTAGTGTTGGGGTTATGTGGAGAGTTAGGGTTACAGGGAGGGGTAGTGTTGGGGTTATGTAGAGAGTCAGGGTTGGGGTTACAGGGAGGGGTAGTGTTGGGGTTTCAGGGAGGGTTAGTGCTGGGGTTGCAGGGAAAGGTAGTGTTGGGGTTATTGAGAGGGTTAACGTGAAGGTTACTGGAGGGCTAGTGTTGGAGTTAAAGGTAAATTTATTGTTGGGGTACAGGGAAGGTGAGTGTTGGGGTTACAGGGAGGGTAATGTTGGGGTTACAGGGAAGGTGACTTTTGGGGTTACAGGGAGGGTTAGTGTTGGGGTTACAGGGAGGGTAATGTTGGGGTTACAGGGAAGGTGACTTTTGGAGTTACAGGGAGGGTTAGTGTTGGGGTTACAGGGAGGGTAATGTTGGGGTTACAGGGAAGGTGACTTTTGGGGTTACAGGGAGGGTAATGTTGGGGTTACAGGGAAGGTGACTTTTGGAGTTACAGGGAGGGTTAGTGTTGGGGTTACAGGGGAGGATTAGTTTTGGGGTTACAGGGGAGGATTAGTGTTGGGGTTATAGGGAGGATTAGCATTTGGGTCACAGGGAGGGTTAGTGTTGGGGCTACAAGGAGGGTTAGTGTTAGGGTTACAGAGACAGTTAGTGTTGGGGTTACAGAGAAGGTTGCTTTTCGGGTTATAGAGAGGGTTAGTTTTGGGGTTACAGGGAGGGTTCGTTTTGGGGTTACAGGGAGGGTTTACTATTAATGTTAGGGTTACTGTAAGAGGTATAAGGAAGCTCAGTCTATCATGTGTCTATATTCATAAATGTAGCTTCTTTTGTTGTCAGAAAGTGATCTGGAATATAGATAAAAAGCCACGACTGACTTTCCTGTTAATATCTCTCGGACTAAATCTCAAAGTGGTCCCTATATCCAGATCATGTTGTACCAACTATTGTGAGTCACACAGGTGTAATGAGAAGACTGCTTTCTTCCTAATAAATACCTGGTGAAAAAGCTGGACAATTACGGTAAAAGCTTTCTTCTTCTTCTTTTGAGACAGAGAAGAAATTACCTTTAATAGCCTTCCCTCTCCCAGAACTCCCGCCACCCCCCAGCCTCTGGCCCGCTCTCCTCTCTGATGCCTTGCTTTCACTTCACACTTTTATCCTCACTTGGATTTTCTGTTCCAGCTCTGCCGATGATTGCAGAGAGATTCATGTAACAAGATTAAACCCATAAATGAAAAAAAATGAAAATATAATATATTGCAGCTCACCAATCATTAGATGTGGCGCCTGCGTTAGTTTTCTTGTTTTTTAGGCTTTTCCCCCTCTGTTTTCACCTGGTGATCCAGCCAGTAACACACCTCCTGTATTAGGGTGTCTCCACTCTGGATGAATCTAAGAACTGGTAAACTGCGCTACATTACTTTGGTGTTTTTGGATTTATTACTGATTTAAACCCAGAGGGGAACGAATAATGTCTTTTTCTATAAATTAGATTTTATTTTTTTATGTTTAGAATTAATTTTTGTAATTTAATTTTACTTCTGTTTAAAGCAACTCTGTCACTGAGCACTACCTGCAAAAGAAGGCACTTGTCCTGCTGCCTGTTCCTCCCATCTTCGCTCTATGAAAAGCTGCATCCTTGAGACTGTCCAATATCTGCACCTCCCTCCACCCTAGTTCTATGCACCAGGTCCCTGTAGTGACACAAGGATCAGCAGGGGAAAGCACAGAGGGACCAGGCTAATAACACACCTATAAGTGTGAAGTTTAAAAAGGCCATTGCTAGGCAAATAATAAGTGTCCAATAAGGTAACCATGCTTGTGATGAATATCAAAAAATGAAAAAAGCTGCTAGCACTCCATGAGATATTTATCACAGCCAAAAAACATAATATACCATGTGCTGCATTCATTTAGTATGACAAATAAATAATCCAAACTAAAAGAAAATGATGAATAAAGTCAGATAAATAGAATAGCTCCACTTGTTGTGACGTCATCTCGTAAATGGAAATTTGGCCATTTTCTGCACTCCATGTGGAGTTTGATGGTTTTTACAGCACGGGTTACGTTTTTATTCTTGTAAATGCAATACTACTTATTCTTATTAAAAGTGTCAACAGTGGAGCATTTAATCCTTTTGTTTTTTGGGTACTCACTTGCACACATGGAACCCCTGGCTCGGTGGGCTTGGCAAAGTGATCCCCTGGTGGAAATGATCCTACCTTTAAAGGATTACTATTTGAAGAGTATTGGTGACCCATATGGATTACATTTAAAGGCGCTTTTTGACTCTTATTGGTCTAAGGCTCGGTTCACACTGCCACGACTTGGGATCCGACTTGTGAGACCCCAAGTCGCATGACATGTGAAATCCCATTTTAGTCAATGAGAGCTGTCTTAATTAGCACTACTGAAGTTGTTCATAAATAGAATAGCTCCACTTGTTGTGACATCATCACATAAATGGGAAGTCTGCAATTTTTTGCACTCCATATGGAGTTTGATGGTGTTTACAGCTGGTTACTTTTTTATTCTTGTAAGTGCAATACTATTTATTCTTATTAAAAGTGTCAACGGTGAAATATTCAACCAACTTCCCCTCTTTTTAGTGTTCCACCACCAATTTGAAAATTAAAATCTGCTTACCAGACTCCCATAACTCTTAGGCTTGGTTCCCACTACTGTGACCTGCAAGTCGTGTGACTTAGAGTGCGACTTTGCCAAGCAACTTCCTGGCAATTTGCTGGTGACTTGATACGACATGGGTACTACATTGATGCACCTTTGAAGCGACTTTGCTTGTGGCCAATGAGAATGTAACGTTCTGTAATGTTGGATCCAAATCACATCAATATAGATGAGGATGAAACTTGGAGGCAAATTCCATTAAAGTCTAAGTCAGATAGAAGTCACCTTGAAGTAGTAGTAGAAGTACCTTTTCTAAAGTCAGAACAACTTCAGTAGTGCTAATTAAAATAGCTCTCATTGACTAACATAGGATTTCACATGTCATGTGACTTAGGGTCTCACAAGTCGGTCCCAAATTGCAGCAGTGTGAACCAAGCCTTGGACCAATAAGAGCCTTTAACTGTAATCCATATGGGTCACCAGTACTCTTCAAATAGTAAGCCTTTAAAGGTAGGATCATTTCCACCAGGGGATCACTCCGCCAAGCCCACTGAGCCAGGGGTTCCATGTGTGTAAGTGAGTACCCAAAAAATAAAAGGATTAAATGCTCCACTGTTGACATTTTTAATAAGAACATGTAGTAATGCATTTAAAAGAATTAAAAAGTAACCAGTGCTGTAAAAACCATCAAACTCCACATGGAATGCAGAAAATGGCCGACTTCCGGTTTATGTGATGACGTCACAACAGGTGAAGCCTTTTGACTCTTATCGATCTAAGAGACATGGGAGGGAGTGTGTTAAGCAGATTTTAGGTTTCAAATTGGTGGTGGAACAGTAAGGCTACGTTCACACTAGCGCTGTGTGCAGGCGGCAGAGAGGCGTTTGGGAATTCAACCGCTTCCCAAACGCCTCTGCCAAATTCTGCACATTACAGCACATGGTGCTGTTTCAAACGGGAGCGTTTTGCGTCGCGGTGCGGCAAAACGGACGCCTCTGGTCGAGTCAGGAAGGCGTTGAAGCCTCCTATTCCGTCTATCCGGGTGCCGCTTCGCAAACGCCTTTGGGCCGGCGTTTGCGGTGCGGTTGTGACGCGGTTGCGGGGCGTTTGCAGAGCGGTACACCACTCAAACTGCATTATTGGCGTTTGTGGGGCGTTATTAACGCTCGGCAAACGCCTAGCAACCGCCGCTAAACTCGCACATGCGGCGTTTGCGGAGCGTTTATGCGATGACGTTCAAAAAACGCTCCGGAAGCCTTTTGACTCATCGATTGCCAAACGCATAGGGGAGTGTTGGCAAGCAGATTTTGGGTTTCCAATTGGTGTGAACAGTAAGAGGTGAAGTTGGTTGAATATTCTCACATGAGTGTCACAAGCAAATCTATTTATCTGGACTTTATTCATCATTTTTGTTCAGTTTGCACTATCTATTTGTCATACTAAATGAGTGCAGCACATGGTATATTATGTTTTTTGGCTTTGATAAATATCTTATGGAGTGCTAGCAGCTTTTTTTCATGTTTTTTTTTTTTTTTTTTTTCATTTTTTGATATTCACCACAAGCACAAGAATAGCTATTCTATTTATCTGGACTTTATTCATCTTTTTGTTCACCATGTGTTGTTTATGTATTATTTATTTGTCAAACTAAATTAGAGCAGCACATGGTGTATTACAGTGCTCTGCAAACGAGCGAAGACTAGAGAAATGGAAAGCAGAAGAGGTCACTTCTTTTGCAAATGGTGCTTTTTTTTTACATGTTTTATTCAGAAACAGATTTTTTTTTCAGTTCTGCTAAATATTAGATCACTCAAAGATAATTGAATGTCTTTTCTTATCTTAAAACTGCAGTCCACCTTACATTGATATGCATGCTGGGCTGTCTAATAAGGAAGCCCAGTACTAGCTTTGAACTTACAGACTCAAGATCTAGAGGGCACTAGGAAGGGGGGGGGTGCCTCGTCTAGGGTGTTCAACTTGACTCATTTACAGTAGCTGTGCATATGTGTATCCTACAATTGGGATATTTTGATCTGCGTTTGCATCTCATCAGTAAATTTAGCTATTTGAAGTAATTGAAAAGCAGATTTGCACTGGCCACCTGCTGTCTGAAAAAGAGTGATATCAGGTGTATGTGTATGTGTATATATATATATATATATATATATATATATATATATATATATATATATATACACACACACACACACACACACTATATTGCCAAAAGTATTGAGCCAGCCCTCCAAATCATTGGATTTAGGTGTTCCAATCACCTCCATGGCCACAGGTGTATAAAATCATCCCCTAGGCATACAGATTGCTTCTACAAACATGTTGGGAGCACTGGTTCGCACTGATGCGGTGCAGAATTTGACACGGTTTCAGTGCGAATTCAACACCGCACTCCATTCATACGAACCGTGTGTATGTTAAGTTAACAACACCCCGACATCAGTCCACAAAACGCAGTGCGATGTGCAGAATCGGATCGCATAGGTGTGAATATATGCGATCTGATTCTAGTGTGGACCAAAAAAGGGTCCTGCACGTTTTGGTGCGGGTGCTGTGCGAATAGAGCCATACAAAATTGCACCACATACAAATCGCATGGGATTTACCAAACCGCTGTAGTGTGAACTTAGGCTGAAAGAATGGTTCGCTCTCAGGAGCTCAGTGAATCCAAACGTGGTCCCGTGATAGGTTGTCACCTGTGCAATAAGTCCATCCGTGACATTTCCTTTCTACTAAATATTCCACGTTCAACTGTTAGTGGGATTATAACAAAGTGGAAGCAACTGGGAACAACAGCAACTCAGCCACCAAGTGGTAGGCCAATTAAAATGACAGAGCGGGGTCAGCACATACTGAAGCACACAGTGCGCAGAAGTCTACTGTCTGCAGAGTCAATAGCTAAAGACCTCCAAACTTCATGGGGCCTTCAGATTAGCACAACAACAGTGTGTAGAGAGCTTCATGGAATGGGTTTCCATGGTCGAGCAGCTGCATCCAAGATTTACATCACCAAGTGCAGTGCAAAGAGTTGGATACCGTGGTGTAAAGTACGCCATCACTGGACTCTAGAGCAGTGGATACGTGCTCTCAGGAGTGACCAATCACACTTCTCTGTCTGGAAATCCGATGGACATGTCTGGGTTTGGCTGTTGCCAGGAGAACGGTACTTGCCTGACTGCATTGTGCCAAGTGTAACGTTTGGTCAAGGGGGGATTATGGTGTGGGATTGTTTTTCTGGGGTTGGGCTTGGCCCCTTAGTTCCAGTGAAGGGAACCCTTAAGGCGTCAACATACCAAGACATTTTGGACAATTTCATGTTCCCAACTTTGTGGGAAGAGTTTGGGGATGGCCCCTTCCTGTTCCAACATGACTGCACACGAGTACACAAAGCAAGGTTCATAAAGACATGGAGGAGCGAGTTTGGGGTGGGGGAACTTGACTGGCCTGCACAGAGTCCTGACCTCAACCCCATAGAACACCTTTGGGATAAATTAGTGCGGAGACTGTGAGCCAGGCCTTCTCATTCGACATCAGTGCCTGACCACACAAATGTGCTTCTGGAAGAATGGTCAAACCTTCCCATAGACACCCTCCTAAACCTTGTGGACAGCCTTCCCAGAAGAGTTGAAGCTGTTATAGCTGCAAAGGGTGGGCCAGCTCAATACGGACTAAGACCGGGATGCCATCAAAGTTTATGTGCCTGTAAAGGCAGGCATCCCAAAACTTTTGGCAATAAAGTGTGTGTGTGTGTGTGTATATATATATATATATATATATATATATATATATATATAAATCTGTGTGTGTGTGTCTGAAAGTGGTTGTAAACCTCTGAATTGGAAACAGAACAAAGTATATCCTATACAAAGTGTACACTTTGTGTGACTCAATCCAAAGCAATGAGTGTGAATTCTGTCTGCTGTCTCTTTCCTCTGCTATGTGCTTGACTCCCTTCTGACAGGCTATGCTGATTCAAAGGGACATAAAGGGACTGGGTAGAGGAGCACCAGCACACAGACTGTGATTAACAGCATCAACTTTGCATGTTTCCCTATGATGCTGTGTAAGGGGAGGGTGTTCATTCCCTCCATTCAGGTCTCAGATTACACTCAGCTCTGTGCTCTATGCTATGCAGTGTGTGACATAAGATCCCTGCCCCCTGAATCTCTGCTCCCTGATTATCATAAATGCTGTGTAGCATTTTTGAATGTTTTTCAGAGTAATTTTAATAAAGTGGGTATACACCCTTACCTATACCCATTGAACTGACTGCCCCAGGAGATACACAGAGATTAAACAAATCCTCCTACATAAGTTGTACCTGTTTATCTTCAGCACTCGCTTATCCACAGCCAAAGTGTACAGTTCACACAGCATTTCTGATGGTCAGAAAAGGGGTGGGTTACTGATGTCACACACTGCACAGCATAGAAAGAATAGCTAAGTGCAATCTGAGACCTGAGTGGAGGGAATGGTCACACACCTTATACACAATCTCACAGAGAAATATGCACAGTTGAGTCTGTCAATCACAAGCTGTGTGCTGGTGTTCCCCTACCTCATCCCAATGGATCCCTTTCAGTTGGCATAACCTGTCAGAAACGCAGATAGCAGAGGAAGAAGACAACAGAAAAGCTTTGGAATGAGACAAGTACACACTATATTTTTGCTATTTTACAGGCACATACAGTTTTGAAGCCTGACCCATTTGGTACTGCACACTGCACAGCACCACATTTTATTTTGTCTACAATAATTGGGGATTAAATTGTGTTTGTATGTGTAACGTACATGTAAGATTTGAGTAGCTGAGATGTGATCTGCAGAAATATGACAATGTAGGTTTAGCTTCAGTCCATGTTATAATAATATAAGATGTGTTCAGAATTAAGTCAGAGACATTTGGTCACCAATTAGCATCTGAAGGGACAGAGCATCCTCTAGACTGGAGGTGACACCTGGATGCCAATAAGATGTCACCTTCTGGAAATCTGGAAGGAAAAGGTTCTAGACAGTTCGGCTTCATGACACAGCGGGAGACCAGAGGTGTGTCTGGGAGCTTTGCTGTATATACACAGATCAAAGGAATATATTTTATCTCTAATAAAAGCTAAAATATTAGTTGCAGAGAGATGAAAATACTTCCTTCTGATTGGGCACACTGTAGGCTACATCTGCATGTAAAACTGCATTTGTAGCCTATATAGAATCCCAGAGAAATGAAGAAAATGGTTATATGGTGCCTGATTGCGACAGCTGAACAGTGATTGCTACTGTCGCGATCGGACTGATGCCTGGTGTCAGAAATTCAATCCCTGACTTGGTGATTCAAACCGTTCCTGGTCCAATCGACTTTGGGCATTTCAGTACCCAGAATGTCCTGTGGGCTGGTACAGGAACACCCCCCCAGGCTTGATTGGCCAAGGGCTAATGTCCAGCCTACGTCCATATTCCCATAAATTAAGGACCCTGAGATATGGACGGTGTAATTCGTATGGAGCCGGTTCTATTGACTGGCAGATTGTGGACTTTCTCTGATGTGCTCCAGTCGCAGGATAACTCTTGGTAAAAGTTTTATTTCTGTTTTTATTTCCCTTTTATTTTATAGTCAATAGCCAATTGTGTGTCTTATTTTTTATACTTCGTACATATTTTATGCACTGCCCACTTTCGGGATATTAAATCATAAAATTAATAAGTACCTTCTGGGTACTTAAGCTCGGGCTCATATCTCCCAAGAGATTGTATTGTATTGCAGTGTCTTTATATGCTTGGTCAAGTTCATTGCCAATCTGTATGCAATTGCACTGCGTGTTGGCAGATTGCATGCAGATTGTAAAGGTAACAGATCTGCCAGACGGACATCTGTGTGTGTGTGGTGGCCCAGCAGACCAGTCTGCAGATAAACTGTTGGGTGGTGGCAAGCTACCGTTTGTGGTGTGTCTGGTGTAAGGGTGTATGGACAGCGGAAGAGTCATTAACACCAGGGTTCTAACTTGTAGGATAGCTGGAGGAATCCTAGAAGGGTGTGCCGATTACTAGGCTGCTCCTCAACCCTTAGCATGCACCAGATTGTATATAAGATGCATATCTGCCTGTGTGTGGTAGGTGAGCTGGATTGGAGTGGAGTCTCCCTCTAGTGGTGGCCAGAGGTAATGCGGGCTGTGAAAGTATATCACGGCTGATCTTATATACGTATATATATTCAAAGTAAGTCCCCCTTATTCCCTCTTTACCCCAAGTCACGGCCGGACGTGCACGCCTCGGTTAGCTAGTCACTGTGGGCATGTGCGTGTGGGTTGGATCCGTGACAGTGTGCAATAAAATTCATTTTGGTGTATTTTTTCCTGAAAATATAGATTTGATAAACAGTTGCGCCAATATCATGCATCATAAAAAATTGCAACTACTATCATTTTATTCAATGAGGCCTCTACTTTTAGAAAATATATAATATTCTGTGGATTTTAAATCGTTTTAGAACTATGATAGCTTTTTTTATTTTGTGTGCGAAACATGAAAAACTAGCTCTAGAGGGGAAGTGGTGAAAGCTTCATTGGCGGTCCACCGCTGGGGTCATCAGGGCCTCGTTCACAGTTATAGCACATAATTGTATCAGTGTGCAATGTACTAAAATAGGTGTGTTGTTATTAGACTCATGACATTATGTGTAATATATTGTTCTGACATTTTATGAAGCATGTACTAAAGAAACACATAAAAACTGGGGTCAGTTTGCTACTTGCTTCACCTACTAATGACGGTAAATGAAGCCTTAGCCCTCCATCCATCCTCGATACTGCAAGAGCCTCTTATGTCTTGCTGAACGTGACTAAACCGTCCCAGCATGCAATTCTGAACTTTCCGATCTCTGTTGAAGAAGTAATCCTAGAAAGGCAGCCAGAGAAGCATACCATGGACTCGACTGAGAATACTGGCCTGCCTCTCTGGTGGCCTAAGAACTGGTCTTCAAAGAAGGCCAAACTGATGACTACAAGGTGGTCTTAACAGGAGGAACAGTGCATGAGTCCTGAGCAGGAACGCTGTCTTCTCAACTGCAGTACACAATTCGAGCCTTAAAGTGGACCTGTCATTAACTTTATATATCTTCACGAATATATTTTCCACATCTCAGCGTATGCAGCAATTAAAGAATTTTTCAAAAAGCTTCACCATTTATCACTAAGGGCCCATCCACACCTACCCGGTTCTTCATGGTGAGTTAATTAATACACATTGACTTGAGGGCAGCACATTTATTTCCATGCACCAAAAACCAGACCTGCACAATTTTATCTGATATGTATGGTCTTGGACCGCAATGGGGGTGCATTAGTTTTAGTGTCTAGGGGGGCACAGTAAGGCACTCTAATGTAGTACATGCTATGTGTTGTGGTCACACATATTTTGCAGAGTTAGTTTGCCATGGGCCTTGAAAAAGAATCCATGAAATCCTGTCTATGACTAGACTGAGATCCACAATCTGAGAAAATTATGTCAATGGTCTGCTGCAGGTAGAAAGAAGAATTTCCTCTGTCTCCTCTTCCTCGGTCATTGCTCTGGCTATAGTGTTAGAGCTACATGGGTGATTTGAAAGCCCAACTCCACTTTACGTGGAGCTAAATGCACTAAATGAAAGTTTTTTCTTAAAAAACTACGAACAGGCAGGTTTTAATGCAGAAGATACATACATGAAATGTCTCTTTTGCAAAAAAAAATTAAAAAAAGCATTTACTTGACTGTTGGCAATCCTCTAAGGAATGTACAGTTTACATTTCCAGAAAAATGCCAATATGTTAGGATGAAAGACATCATCCCATGCCGGCCAACCAAGATGTCTGAAGACCAGCACCCAGAAGAAGCCATGCAGCAGATGCCTGAGCTGGTGAGGGACGTT